ATAATCCCTGGCTAAATACCACAAGTTTAATATTTGTTTAATATATTTCAAAACTGGTTTAAAAGCTGTTATAATAGAGTTGTAAAATCAAACTTTTTATTAGCGGTTTGACGTTTGCCGTAAACGTCGATCTTAAGGTGTCTAATGTCCCCGAGCCAACGGCGTGGAGCGCCATTCCAGGCGTGAGCCCGGGTGAAGGGTACTAATTCCGACCGGCTATTTACACCCGGAGAAAGGAAAGCATTAGCGAAGTCTAAAGTTCATCAATAGGGACCTCTAGCGAGTAGGGGACGGCAACGCGACGACGACGGCCAAAACAAACTCGTTCAAATAAGTAACTTTAAGATCAACATGTCTTGTATTATCCGTTGCACGAATTTATTGCAATTTAAGAAGGTTAAGACAGAGGTTTATAGTTGAGAAGACTTCTGCTAAGCCAATTTGGCAAGGACGACTTCTCGCGGCTTGAAAGGCAGACGTTGTATACAAAACGTGAAAATCTTTGGTTTGCTGTTGTAAACAGAGCAAGGACGACGTCTAATGGCGGATTTCCAGTCCTCGCACGAAGCTCCTCGCATCTCGCTGCGAGTGCATGCATGAGCACTTTCATCCAATCACAATGCTAAACAGTCTAATTTTAATTAGATGTAAGCACTCGCAGCGAGCTGCGAGGAGCTTCGTGCGAGGACTGGAAATCCGCCTTTAAACTCCCAAGGGACCTTTAATTATGCATTTTCTTTCTACACTGTCATAAATTTCATTGTATTAATAGCCGCCGCCGTCCTGCTAGCTAAAGGTCCTTATGATCGCGGGTGTTTGATTATGGTTCATGGGTGGACTTCCTCACTGATCTAAAAAATGTGGCTGTTGGCAAACTGGGTGGATTCCATGTATAATTTGCCGAAGATATCCGGCGTGGAGTATATCGTCGTCGGCGTATTGGCGTAACTTCGCCCTTTGTCACTATGTTGTCGCATCAGCGCCTCAGTGTGTTGGCGTGAAATGTTTGCAGCATGTCAGCGGAATACAAAAATTCAACAACGATAGTATTAATTATATTAATGGAAAAAACAGTTGTACGTTTTCACCACTATTGCACTAATATATTTAAACCTACGTAAAATAGTGTAGATTCTGTTAATTGTTTATTTGTTTTGAAATTGACATTCTTTCAATCTTCGATTCAATGCTATAATGTGATTGGTTAATTAAGAATTATAATGACTAAATAATTCCAGCGTGTAGCCATGCGTGACTGGGCTTGACTCTTGAGGCTTTCTTGCCAAATTCCAATGGCAAGAACCGAAGAACAAGAATAAACAATTGACTTGGAGGTAAGGTAATTAATATACACTTAATGTCTGCTCCCGAGGGAAATAGTTAGTTTTGTTTTCCTGGGAATCTCAATGTTTTATCTGAGTTGTGCCTCCATTTTGTTTATTTATGTACGTGGCCGGTCGGGGCGGGCAACAATTTTTCACTTCTTGCCCGGTGGGAAACATTGCATTTATCTGAAGTCACGTGACCACAAATCAGCCAATCACGTTTGGTGTTCACGCTAGCTATATAACAATTAATATTAATTGGCATGTACAATATTTCTGTTGAGAAAACAACGTTTTGTATCTAACATTGTTTACCCTTCAACGTATATTTAGGCATTTATATTGACCTCAGAACATCATGTCAGCTCGGCAAAACATCATACGTGGTCAATGACGTCATTGGATAAATTTATCAAAGGGGGGGGGGGATTATTTATTTGGAAAACGCTTGTTCAACGCTTCAATATGGCGGCTTCAAATAGTGGGAACAGTGCGTATATATCGGCTTTAATTAACGAAGTAGTTTTAACAGGATTATTCATTTAATTGACGACTGTTTCCGTGATGCTGCAACATTGGAATATGCACTGTTTCGGGTAGATGTGTTTAATATATCAAGCTGTACAACGATTTAGGAGATGCCATTTTGGATCGTGTATATAACGTACGTCAAATTTTAGTGGCAGCTATCGACATGGATGGAGCATCCGATCACGAAGGTTATCGTACTGAATGTCAGATATCTGTGCGCAGAGGAAGACCAAGGTTTAAAATAAGCAAAGAGCAACTTGACTTTTTTGTTGAAAATGGATTTACAGTGCCTAACATTGCTTGTCTGCTCAATGTCAGTTGCAGTACAGTAGAAAGAAGGTTGAGAGAATTTAGCATTTCTGTGACAAATAAATATTCCAATGTATCCGATGAAGGACTCGACAACATTGTCCTCGACGTTAAAAGACATTTTCCAAACACAGTATACAAACGAATGAAAGGTTTCTTGTCTCAACGTGGGTATACGGTTCAGCAAGATCGTTTAATTAAGAGAAAGTATGCGAAGAGTTGACCCAGAGGGAGTATTGTTGCGGAGATTGGAAATGAGAGTCCTCAGGCTATTTACACAAATTGTTCAGTAAATAGAACAATTTGTTGTGAACAATTTGTGTAAATAGCCTGGGGATGGATAGTAAACTATCTGAAACGTAGCTAAAGTAAAAATATTATCAAAAATCTCTTGTGCGATCCTTGATTTAAATTAAAAACACAAAATTATTTATGAACGTTTCAGAAAAACAATCAAATTATATTCTGTTCCAAATATACTCCAGTGTTTCTATATAAAGGATCAATGACTTCATTTAATTCCCAAAGCCCATTTTGCGATGTTGATGCAGGTACTTCTGGAACTTCAACTGAGTCGGCTCTTGACACATCTGCCACATCCGAATCAACTCGATGCAAATTGCGTTCCTAAAAAAACAGAACGGCGAAGAAGAATATAAGTAATGATGAAAGACTAAAACTGACATTTTTGCTTGTAACATTTCATACAGTAACATAATATTTGATCTACTTTCTCCGCAGGCCGTAATGAGTACGCCTTTTCGTTGGTTAAAATTTGAGAAACAGGTGTGTTTAACTTGATTGTTTAACTTTAATATATTATCGGTCACATCATTATTTTCATGTAATCTATACTTCTAATTTTTGCCTAACCTGATTGTCTTGAGAATCAGCCTCTTCAATACTTCTGTTAAGCATACCAGTCAACCATAATTGCTCAGGAGATCTGTTTTTTTCTGTGCTTAATGGTGCTTTGTTGTGACTTTCTCAAAATATTTCTAGATTTTGATTTATTCTTGGTTGGAAAACATAGTGTAATGCAAACAGGTGGATTTCATCTGTAGGATCTAGTAAACCATGCTTTTCCATAAAATAGAAAAGATTATAAAACAGTGAAATGCAAGCAATAAACAAGTCTCTCCAAAGACGTTCGATTCGTTGATTATGCACACTCCTACCGGTAATGTGACTTCCACGGTTTGTACCTCGGTTAGTAAGCATGTACATAGCAACAAGAGTGTTTTCACCCCCCTTGTCCAATCGAACTCTACTAGGAATACCATACATGTTTACTGCCTTTTCAAAATGCTCCAGCACTGTCATGTGGGTGCCCTGTTGTTGTCTACACACTTTAAAAATACAACAAGACGTGAGAAACCATCAATCCCTCCATGTATCACCAATCGCCGGCTAGAGTGAAGATAAAATTAACATTTTCATTAAAAATTAGTTGTACCCAAACTCAGTTGTATATCAATACAAACGACTTATTTGCTGTGACAGTGTTTCTAGAGTTATATCACTGAAAAAAAAACGTGAGCATGCATGCAAGTGAGTATAAATTGTGGCTTCAGGGATATTTTCAAGCACTTTTCTACTACCAGTATACAGTAGTAAATACTCAATCTTCAATTGAGTTTTGAAACTCAATCTTCCCTCACAATAATTTTTTTTCACAATTTGATTTTTTAATGTAAATGTTCCATTGACACTACCTGAATCAACTTTCTTTCTGTGCTCCACAGCTAGCTGATGCCCAAACTAAAGTCTGAAAATGCCATTTCCGACGATCTAGAGACTTCAAAGTTTCAAAATTTTTTTGCTCGGTGCAAACCATGGTGCATATGGCGCCTCGAGGAACTCCCCTTTCCAACATGTAACCCCTTAAAAGTCGTTCATTTTACACCCCTCCAAAATATTTTGGAATGTGCCCTCCCTGACCACAAAATATTTTGACATCCTCCAAACGAAACTCAATCTTGTTCTGAAAAACGGTAGTATACTAAAGTGCTTGAAAATATCCTTGGGCTTATTTAGACTGCGGCTTATCATAGGCAATACTTACATGCATTGATTCCCTTAGGCTTAGTGAAGGAAATATGTCCATAAACTAATGGAATTATAGTGGGTTACTTGGTTTGCTTGAACGCTATACTTCAAGCTTTAATTATTTAGAACCGGCTAGCACCAGTTCCCGTCAAATGAAGCACTCTGATGGTGCGAGATTTTTCTGTAATGCCTGCAGGCATTACTAAAATGTGAATCCCCATTCATGTGAAAACACTCAAAAGTCCTTGAAAATGAGCTATACTGGGCTATTATTCAGCCTAATATTTGGTGTTAGTCCAACGATTTCAGGTGCCCCGTGCCCAGAATTCTTTGGGGTTAGTCTAATATTTCACCTGGAATTCTTAAGGGTTTGCCAAAGATTTCACTGGAATTCTTCGGGGGGTTCGTAAAAATCTAAATTATTTAGGGGGGTTACAAGAGAGGTCCACAACAGGGAGGATTTGGATTTTAAATGCAATAGCCAAATGGTCAAAACTATCAAAATTAACAATGTCAAACATTCTCAGAGTTATGTTGTCATGTTAGAGTTTTTTTTTTAATTCTGAAATAGTATGGTCAACATTGATTGTCACTGTTTCCAGTTTGACAAGCCTGAAGCAAGCAGCCAATGGGAATGGCAAGAGTACCATATATGGTCATACATAATAAACTACTATTAAACCTCGACAGTTCAGTATGAGTATGGACAGCAAGAGCTCAGTTTGATAATTTTTAAACACCTCACTTAATTAAGGTTAAGAAGTAGTTGATGTAGTACTAACCGAATCAATTTGTAATTTCCATCGATGTGCCATAAACATTGAGGACCAGCAACTGAGCAACACGATAATGTCGACGATTTATAACTCTCATTTCCAATCCCCGCAACAATACTCCCTCTGGGTCAACTCTTCGCTGAACCGTATACCCACGTTGAGACAAGAAACCATTCATTCGTTTGTATACTGTGTTTGGAAAATTTCTTTTAACGTCGAGGACAATGTTGTCGAGTCCTTCATTGGATACATTGGAATATTTATTTCTCACACAAATGCTAAATTCTCTCATCCTTATTTCTACTGTACTGCAACTGAGATTGAGCAGACAAGCAATGTTAGGCACTGCAAATCCATTTTCAACAAAAAAGTCAAGTTGCTCTTTGCTTATTTTAAACCTTGGTCTTCCTCTGCGCACAGATATCTGACATTCAGTACGATAACCTTCGTGATCGGATGCTCCATCCATGTCGATAGCTGCCACTAAAATTTGATGTACGTTATATACACGATCCAAAATGGCATCTCCTAAAGGCCGGCGCACACTAGAGCTATGTGCTTAGCAAAATGTCATTCGTGACTGTTGGCGTAAGGAGATAGTTCTCGTGTGCGGGCGATTTACGAACGACTTTTGTCATTCGTGCCATGCACTTACGCCAAATATCTAACATGTTTGATAATTTCTGCCTCGCGTGCCAAAATCTTTCCGTGTGCGGCGAACGAAAGCTATCTGCTTACGGATTGTCGTAACAGCGCATGCGTAGTATACGAAAGTAAACAACCAAGATGGCGAACAGCTCACAAAATGGATGAATGTGAAGACGAAGAGGTGTTGTTATTTTGTTTGCTGTTGCGTCGTCGCCGTCGACGCTTACGAGCATTGAATCGTCAGACATGGACGAAGCGATGGATTATGAGACGACAGGGTCAAGGAGCCTACGCGAACCTTGTTAAAGAACTAAATGCCGAAGAGCCAGAGCAATTTCGACAATATCATCGTATTGACAGGCAGTCATTTGAAAGCATTTTAACTATGGTGAACCCATTGATAGTAAAGCAAGACACGCAAATGCGGTTTTCGATCAGTCCGGGAGAACGTCTCACTGTCACAATACGTTTCCTTGCAACAGGTCAGGTTTATAGACATTTTTATAAATAATTATACAAGCTCGTATTGTATAAATATGAGACAAATCGTATCATGTGCACATTTACAAAACTATTTAATCTATTAAATTTTAGGTGAATCATTTAGAAGTTTGGCTTTTCAATTCAGGATGGGAGAAAGAACAATATCTGGTATCCTTGAAGAAACATGTTTGGCACTGTATGGGACAATGAAGGGAAACTTCTTAAAGGTGCTGTATTGTTGCAACGTCTTAATTTGTAAAAAATAGTATATTTGTAGTATATTTAAAATTTCCACATAAATTTACGATCTCAAATTCTCACAGATGTCTATATTGAAAATATTAAATCGTACTGTGATTCTGGGACTGAAGTCTGATGTAAAGTCAATCAATGACAACAAGAGCCAAGTGCTGCCACGATATGTTAACTGAGTATATGGATTACAAAAATAAAATATTAATTAGAAAAATAGTGATACAATATTTTATTATACAACAATATTACACATATCAATAAATAATAATTCATTATTCAACATTTAATTATAAATAATAATTCAATATTCCTTCAACAACAACAATTCATTATATAACATATATATAGTTAATAAATAAAAATTAAATATTAATTATTCAACATATTTTAATAAATAATAATTTAACAATAATTACTCAGCATCAATATATGTAATGAGTTATTCAACATGTAGGTTGTTTCCTTGCTGCTGGATCAACTCAGGCCAGTTGCTTTGACCTAGGTTGCATAGAGGGGTACTAGATGTACTTGGGAAACTCTGCTGCACCCTTGCATAAGAGGGGAAATTCATCAATGGTGGATTTGGTGGAAACCAGTTGTGTTGTGGATCAGGAGCTGATGAAAATACTGTGTTGTTTCCCTCTTGGTATGATAGTGTCCCCATTTGTGCTTGGAACAATACATTGTTTATATGGTGTTTGGCCAAATGTGTCATTCTTGGCTCAAGTTCTGCCAATGATTCAGTCACATACCGACCAAATGAGCTCATTGATTCATCATGAGTGTCAGCTGTTTTATGCTGTTTGTTTTGTCGTTCTGCTATTGAGGTTGCGAGGCCTTTGATTAGCTCAAATTCTTGCTCTGCCCGTTTCCTTCGGGATAACTTACCAGTTAATGGCTGTTTGGTTGGCAGTGCAGGTGAGGTTTCACTGTCAGGATCATCATCATTTGCCAACAAATCATCAGCGATACTGTCCGCATCATCAATGCTCTCATTCAGGCTATTTAGCTGATCTGTCGACTCGTCACTATCTGGAGTGGTAGTATGTGACACAGTCTAATCAAAGTGTAACAAAAAAAATTGTATTAAATTTTATTATGCACTTTCTTTTTTCAGACTCCATCATCTGTGGCAGATTGGTTGGTGGTCTCAAAAGAGTTTGAAGAAAAATGGAATTACCCATCATGCATAGGGGCGATAGATGGAAAGCACATTGCCATACAGAATCCAAATAACAGTGGCTCTGATTTTTACAACTATAAGCATTTCTACAGTGTGTTACTTTTGGCTGTAGTCGATGCCAATTACAAATTTATTTATGCAGATGTTGGAGCTGCTGGACGTGCTGGAGATGCTGGGCTCTTTAATGCTTCAGTCCTGAAGAGGACCTTAGACGACGGGTCCCTCAATTTACCACCACCAGGATGTGTTGAAGGAATACCAGAGGCCTTAATCAATTATCATATGGTTGGAGATGATGCGTTTGCACTTACTAGGAATATGATGAAACCATATCCCCACCAACATATGGATAAACCCAAACGCATTTTCAACTATCGGTTATCTCGCGCCAGACGGGTTGTTGAAAATGCGTTTGGAATTCTTGCCAGCCGATTTCGTGTGTTTTTCACAACAATAAAGTTGAGTCCTGAAAGAGTGACGTACTTGATCCTTGCATCATGTTGCCTCCACAACTTCATGGTCGACAACAACAAGCATGCATACACCAGTGCTGGTGATGTTGAAAGAGGAGATCACACATTCTTGTCTGGAGCATGGAGAGCTGACCCTCCACTCAACCGTTTGCAGTCCTGCACCACCGACCGCAACCCCACAAGAAGTGCAAAGCAACAACGCCAGCTTCTCACCAGCTATTTCTCGGGTGCTGGGGCTGTTACATGGCAGGACAATATGATATAAAATGTATCAAATTTAAGATTGTACCTAAAGGAGTCTTCATTATTTATGGTTTAGGGGGTGGGGTGGTGAAATTGTAGGGGGCAGCTCCCCCCTGGCATGAGCACATCTTTACAGCTTCCATTAAAATACTTGCTACATCTATACTCGAGGTTGATGTTCGAGTTGCAATATACGGTTCAAGGAATTGCAGCTTATCCCGTATCCAAGCGGCACGCTTGCTCAGCGATTTTCTCGCACTTCCACTGCTTTGAGGTTTGTTGTTGCATGCCATATATGGCATGCAACTTTCATATAGCCACAGAATAAGGAGTAGAACCAGAAGGGACACTCCTTTGATGTTAGGCGGTAGCGCCGACATAGGCCTGTATACACCCGCGAGAGAGCGGCGGCCATGTTCTTAGGTAGTATAGTGTGAGAATTTTACTATAAACAATATGGCGAAAACCGCACTATGATTATTGAAACTGCTCCTTTTGGAATATAAGTGGACTATTTTCATCTGTTTTATGAATATATTGAAGAAAAGGTAAGCGACTTTTTATTTGTCAAGTCTGGTAGTGTAATTTTTTTTTTTGCACAATTTAGTTGCGAGTTTTCCTCGGGAGTATGAAGGCTCTCGTGACAGCTAAATATATAAATGTTTTGGTAGATTCTCGCACGTTTAAATATTTCTTTATTGTTTTAATAATTGTGCAAATTATTCCCTGGACGGGTTATTGATGGCCATTGATCATTTTACTATGTATACGGTATACAAAGTATTTTATGTGTATTATTTCAAAGCAGGACAAATAATCATTTTTGTAATTCATACTCCAATAATTGGGCCCGGAAAGCATGCGCAAGCTTTCAAAACAGGCACTCCATGAAATTGATAAAGTAAATGAACTTATAAAGAAATTATTGATATGTCTAGCCATTTAAATGTGTTACTATCTAGTAGTCACTAGTCATCAAGTCCCATATGGATACATTCATCAAGTTAATTTTAATAATTTGTTTTAAACTTCATGCAGGGATGGTTGCAGGCTTGCAGATGTTGAAAGATCTTCTGCGTCTTCAGAGCTCAAACGGTGATACCACATAGAACTCAATATTGGGTCAATTGGATACTTAATTATTTTTGGAATCACTATATTGACACAGACTATGCTTACAGAATGTGCTTTGATTGTCAGTGGTACATTAACTTTAAGGTTATGTGGATTATAGAGTATTTAATACTGGAATATACAAGACATTTAAAATCAGAAAATTGAGAAAGAATTAAGAGACTATTGAAGGTTTACAATTGCAAAGAAACTTAGAATGGTTGTTGTTACATTAATTTGGTTGGCAGTATTTAATATGATTTGCTTAAGACCGATAGACTCTGGTCTAGTTCAGGTAGACCGATAGACTCTAGTCCTGATAGACTCTGTTCTAGTTCATAAGCGTACTTGCCTTTCACCTCTGAGGCCGCAGGTTCAAGCCTCAGTGAGAAACTTCTCAATCAATCTCGTTCCCCGAGCCTGCGATCCTTGGGAAGGAAACGAAGGCTCTGGGATAATCCATCTCAGAAATGAATATGATTGGTTGCTGGTATACAATGAATGTTGCAATTTTGCAAAAATTAATTTTTAACCGTATATTTTTACATACAACATGGCGGCCGTTTAGGAGTGTACGAATATTGTTTTGGTGTTTCAGAGCTGTGCTATATACTAATACTACAAAGGAAATGCAAAGAAACGTATACTTAATGCGTATAATATCACAACAGTTAAATGGAGCGTGAAAACTTTACTCATATTTTGTGTTGTACAGGTTTTCTGTAGTTTTAATCTATACATAGTATACAGTACTGTCAGTACACTGTTCTATTTGACTATAATATCACATATGTGCTATATTTTGCAAATACTATTTGTGTCAGAAATGGTTAATAACTTTATTAATTTGTCTTTGTGTTATCTAATTGCGAAGAACTAGCTAATAACTAGTTTCAATAAATCCAATCTTGGGATTTTAATACTGTTATATATTTTATTATTTAATGTATATACACTGTACTGTAAACTTTTCAAGTGCAGGAGTATGTAATACTCATTTTGACTTGTAGCATGTAACCCTTCCCTATATGGGTGCATATGAATCTTTTGCTGTTATAATTTATTTATAGA